ATACATGGCAAAATAAATTTGTGGATTTGTAAATGAGATAATGTATCTTGCAAGCCATGTAGCATTTTCTCTCAACCAAGATACATTGATAGTTTCATAGCATATCATTCCTTAGGTTCACTGCTTAAACAACTGGTATCAATAAAAGCAAGAAATGTTGCATGGAGACCTAATCAGACTCATCAAAGAGAGGGCAATCAATGATAACTTGCAAATCCTTTTTTTCATTTTTTATATGCCTTGTTAACATGTCTGAAATATGAACTCAAGGTTAAGATTTCTCAATGCATGAGGGTATATAATGTAGGGATTTGGAGAACCCCTAGCTTGCGGAACCGAGAATCTCAAACACCGGGATCCCACTCAAAATCATGTATATGATTGACTAAATGCGAAGCAGATGAATACAACTATAAATCGAGTACGAGAAATAAAGCAAGCACAAAAAGGCACACCAAACGACACAAGATTTACGTGGTCACCCCATAGGGCTACATCCACAGCCTCGGCAAATAGAAATCCACTATCACAATGAAGATTATAGTTTTGGATTACAAGAGATAATACATATCTCTAAACATCGGTAAAAGATCATCACCGATCTTCCCTTCTAAACCTCCTCTCTCGACCGAACAACACCGTCGATCAACATCATCTTCCCACCGCAATGCCATTATTGGAAAGATAACTTTGAGGGCAACCGAGAGAGTTTCTCTCTTCAGAAGTGAAAGTTAACTAACCCAAAATGCATGGAAATATTACCCCTCTCTCAGAGGCCATGTCTCTCTCTTGGAGACTCATATCCATATTGGAGATCCATCCCCATAACCCCCAAAGGGGTGATTCTCAAATGATGGGTATTATGTCATCATTCACTCTCTTATAAAGATATCACTTTCTTGCTACCCAAGAAAGTCAATTTTCTATTTTTCATAATACTCTAATCTTTAGAAGAAAATATGGGTATGGTGATTTAGATATCACCAAACCCATCATTCTCCACCTTGATAGAAAAATCACCATAATTGCCTTGATAATCTTCATTGAAGAGACTTCTTGATTTCTTCATACTTGTCTCCATTGTGGAATTTTCACAAAAAATTGCCCTCATATTTCTCCACTTCAAACCATGGATATTTCTTGATTTCTTCTCACTTGCCTCTATTGTGAAATTTTCACAAACACTTTGCCTTCATATTTCTCCACCTTAAACCATGTATTCATAAAACTTTGTCATTCCTCTTTTTCTTAATATAAACCTTAACCCCGTACACACCTTGTGCTCTGATATCAATTGTAGGGATCTCGAGAACCCCTAGCTTGAGGAAACGAACTCCCAAACACCGGGATCCCACCCAAGATCGTGTATATGATTGACTAAATTCGAAGTAGATGAATACAACTATAAATCGAGTGCGAGAATAAAGCAAACACAAAAAGGCACACCGCAACGACACAAGATTTACGTGCTTCACCCCATAGGGCTACATCCACGGCCTCGGAAAATAGAAATCTACTATTACAATGAAGATTACAATTTTGGGATTCAAAAGATAATACCTATATCTAAACATTAGTAAAATACCATCACCGATCTTTCCTTTTAAACCCGCTCTCTGGACCGAGCAACACTGTCGATCAACATCTTCTTTCTCACCGCAATACCGTTACCGAAAAGATAACATTGAGAGCAACCGAGAGACTTTCTGTCTCCAAAAGAGAAAATTAACCAACCCAAAACTCGTGGGAATACTGCCCCTCTCTTAGAGGCCATGTCTCTTTCTAGGAAACTCATCTCTGTATTGGAGATCCATTCCCATATCCACCAAAGAGGTGACCCTCAAAAGATGGGTATGATATCCTCATTCACTCTCTTATAAAGATATCACTTTCTTGCTTCCCAAGAAAGTCAATTTTCTATTTTTCATAATACGTAAATCTTTAAAAGAAAATATGGGTATAGTGATTTAGCTATCACCAAACCCAACAAATTGATTGTAAGGTTCTTGGGAACCCTTTAGCTTGCGGAACCAGGTATCCCAAATACCGGGATTCCACCCAAGATCGTGTACATGAATGAATAAATACGAAGTAGATGAATACAACTATAAATCGAGTGCGAGAAATAAAACAAACATAATAAGCACATCACCACAACACACGATTTACGTGGTTCACCCCGTAAGGCTACATTCACGGTCTCGGCAACTAGAAATCCACTATCACAATAAATATTAAAATTTTGGGTTACAAGAGATAATACATATCTCTAAACATCAGTAAAAGACTATCACCAATCTCTCTTTCCAAAACCCGCTCTCCCGACCGAGCAACACTATCGATCAACATCATCTTTCGCACCATAATACCGCTACCGGAAAGATAACTTCGAGAGCAACATAGAGATTTTCTCTCTCTAGAAGTGAAAGTTAACCGACTCAAAACTCATGGAAATACCGTATCTATTTCAGAGGCCATGTTTCTCTCTCTTGGAGACCTATTTCCATATTGGGGATCTATTCCCATAAACCCCAAAGGGGTGACCCTCAAATGATGAGTATTATGTCATCACGCATTCTCTTATAAAGATATCACTTTCTTGCCTCCCAAGAAAGTCAATTTTTCATTTCCCATAATACTCTAATCTAGAAGAAAATATAGATATAGTGATTTAGCTATCACCAAACCCAACATATAGGATCACAATCACCTGTTGCATCGTAAGATTGAAGTTTCTAGATATGCTTGGGAAAATTCTTGAGATATGCACATGAAGGCTAGTTAATAAGTTTGGTAGAGGTAGGTGATTCAAAGTACTCATTCATATTCCTTGTGAATGATCCATATCAGTGAAATAAGAATGACCCCATGCGGAAACCCTAGATATCCAATGAACCCTCCAATATTCAGAGTTTGGATCAACTTAACAAACCATTGCCCACCTTGTTAAAACTACCAACCATCTCCCCCAAGAGCTACAACTATGCTCAGTGAACAATAATTTAAAAGGGTTTTTGACATCATGAATCTTAGGTCCAGAGGGATCCACTAGAATTCATAATTTTAGAATTACATCCCTTTGACTCAAATCTTTAAATCCTTATGCAAGAAAAACAAGTGAAGCACATAACTTTAGTATATTTGCATATTCTCTCTCATTTGCAAATGGCATCCTCCAAATGTGTCACATATAAAATAGTACATAAATCTTTGTAGAAAATTTAGAATGTTGGGGTTGTTACAATGGGACCCTAATAAATAAAAATATAGAATATAACACTAGGAGACAATGCTCTGTTGCACTAGTCTTCTTAACACAATACTAAACATGGGCTTGATTTATTATTTGATGAGGGTGACTTGAATGCAATACAATATAATCAGGTCATTGTTCTCTGCCAATTGTTGGTCTAAATCTACAGAGTAATTCAATTGATTATAATCATCTGACAAGAGGAAATTCCAAGTTTGAATAAGTTTTAGGTGGACATATTCAGGGGTGATCTTGCACAGCTTGCAATCTCTCAAATAAATGCTGTGCATTGAGGCAAGGCGACAATGACTCCTTTAAATAAACCCTCTCATACATTTAAATCGTGTTTGCTTCGAAAAGCGCGCAAGGGTTTTTCAGCATTTGTTTGTGGGGAGGTAATTGGGTCTCTTCAAGATCTCATTTTCACCATTTCTAAAAAAGAAGGAAAAAGAGAGGGAGAGAGGGGGAGGGGACATGGTTAGAGAGAGAGAAAGAAGAAATATGGGTAGGAGAGAGAGAGGAAATATGGGGTTAGAGAGAGAGGTAGAGAGAAAATAAGAGGGTTAGAGAGAGAGGAAATATCGGGTTAGAGAGAGAGACAGGGGAAATATGAGGGTTTTTATCATCAATCATCTGGATTGTAGGTGCCCGAGAGAATCCTCGAGTCACTTAACATATTAGAGCTTTGGTAAAAGACATTAAAAGCAAGGTAATTTCTCATTATAAAAGGAGCAATAGTATATTGTGATTCGACCTAGGGTTTAGAAATCTATCTATGTAATAGTCAACCATGAGAGAGAGAGAGAGTGTGTGTGGATGATCATGTGGGTGTGACATAATCTTAATGCTAGACAAGCGTGTTGTTTGTGGAAGGGAATATTAGGAGGATGAGAGGGAATTAGAAGCAATGAAGAATGAGAGATCTCTTTCTCCCTCTAGGAAAAGAGAGAGAAAGGAATCACTAATTAGAAATTCCTCTCTCGTGTGCTCGTAAGAAAAACCTATCTTTTCCCTCTATCAAACTTTATAAGGCAACCCCACGCTTTCTCTCTTCTTGACCCCTTCTCTCATATTGGTTCGTAATAATGGACACATATTGTGCTCCGGAGCATAGTTTACTTCTACTCCCTCAGCCAAAAGACCAACTTGGGAGGAATTCTTTTAATCTAAATTTTTAAGAACTATTTAAGAATTACAAGATGATTATTCTCTCAAAATTTGAGTTTTCTATCACTAGATCTCAAAATCTAAAAATTGGATGGTCTATATTCAATCTCGAAATATCATTTATTCAAATGCACAAAAAAGCACAATTAAAATTTTTTTTATTGATGTTAATATATAGGTTAAAGAGGTAACCTCCACAAAATTTGGGATCCTAAAATCAATTCTAGGTAAAATTTTATCCGAGGGAGTAGATGGACCTTCTACTCTTGCGAGAGTAGACTACATTTTGGCCTTAATAAAAAAAACCCACTTTCTCTCTCTAAATCCCCCTTCTTTCTCTTAACCCTACTCTCCCTCTCTCACTCTCTATAGTTTTATCTTTGTCTTGTCAGAAGACCTCTCTCACTCTCTCAACACTCCTCTCTCTCTCTCTCTCTACGCTTCCTTATGGGTCTACATCACACTCTCTCCTCTTTCTCTCTCTCTAGGCCTATTTTTTGTTATTTAAAGAGAACCAACCTTTTTGGCTCAATGGGTCTATGTTGGAAACGCAAACATTTAATAAGAGAGGGGGGGGCAGGGCATTTTTCCCTTTTGTTAAAATAACACCACACCAAAGGTAGAGTGAAAAGGAGTGAGGCAGAAACTTCCCCTTTTTAACCGGGGGTTTTGCCCTCATCATTTCTTTCACCCTTGTTTTGACCATCCCTCATGCCCCCCCTAAGTGTCATTTTCTTACATACATATTCTAAGGGGGATGGCAGATTTGGCTTCTTTCCATTTCCTTTCTCATTTTGTGTAATCCCTCTCCTTCTCTGTGTCCCCCACTTTTCTCTTCTCTCTCTCTCTCTCTCTCTCTCTCTTACTCCGTGCCAAACCAGTGCAGCATGTCTGTAGAGAGAGGGGACACCTTTGTTTACATTCCCAATCTCCATTGTTTTCCCAATCCTCCTCTTTCTCTCTCCTCCAACTCAAGCTTCGATCTCCGAGCAAACCAACATGTCCTCCTCCTCTTTCTCTCTCTACAAACCTACCCTCATCCGTACCTCCTCCCTTAAATCCCTCACCCCCATGTCTTCTAATCCCTTCTCACCCTCATCTTAACAGTAGAGAGAGAGTGCAAGAGAGGAGCAACATCCCCAAAAGAGAGAAGCAAGACGCCCCAAAATAGTTAGCGAGAGAGCAAGAGAAGGGCCCATCGAATTGCTTGATGAGTGTTGAACCTGAAAATTGAGGAGCTTTAGGGTGATTTTGTGAGTGGAAAAAATGCCTACACAGGGGGTTTTCATGGAGCCACCACGCTCTCTGCCGGATCTCTCGCTGCACATAAGCCCTCCGAACAGTGGCGCCACTCCTTCGAATTGCAGCACCGAGCTCTCGCTCGCAAACCCTAGCGCCCCGCAAGAGAACCAGGAACCCCACTTTCTCTCTCTACCCCACTTCCAAAACCACCACCAGAACCACCCCCATCATATGCCTTCTTTCTCTCTCTTAGAAGTCTCTGAGGGCCTAAGGCCCATAAGGGGAATACCAGTCTATCACAACAGGCCCTTCCCTTTTGATGATCCAAAGATGGGTAGTAGGCTTTACCATCTCTCTTACCCCTCAACCTCATCTTCTTCTCTCTCTAACTCTTGCTCATCTCCTAATCCTTGTTCTTCTTCCTCGGCTTTGGGGCTCGACCCCATGGCCACCATTTTGCAATCGAGCTCAGCTTCTCAAGCCCAACCCTTTCATTCATTGAGGTTTGGGGGTCTAAGTAGTGAAACCCTAAAATCTCATCACCATAATCATCACCATTTTGGTGGAGTTTCAGACGCTTCTTCACATGCGATGAGGTCAAGAATTGTATCGAAGTTGCCTACAAAGAGGAGCATGAGAGCACCTAGGATGCGGTGGACTAGCACTCTCCACGCTCGCTTTGTGCACGCGGTCGAGCTCCTCGGTGGTCATGAGAGTATGGCATTGCTCCTGATTATCCCTCTCTCTCTCTCTCTCTCTCTCTC